ACCTTGCTGGATTGATTCTACATGGTCTCCTGGAGTTCCTTGGGCTAGGCCCGACATCAAATCCAGCAAGGTTTATTAACTACAACCCCTTAACAAGAATCTTCCCAGAATGAAACCAGTTCCCAGGTGATGGAATTTCTCAGGGAGGTGCCAATCTCCTCCGCTTATCTCTTCCTCGCTCCTCTGGAGATGAGAGCACATTCTTTACGCCCCTCCCACCATTCCAGTCCATCACAGGAGAATATTCCTGATGCTGGCAGTAGGGGTGTGAAATGGGGGGATGAAACATTTTTTGGAATAGCCGATTTTGGGTTCCCTGGCAGAAAATTCCAGATTCTGGAGATAGGGGTGTGGACTGAGAGGGTGTAAAATGTTTCAGCCTGAATGCAAAAAGGGAGGGCAGCATGAAATTCAGGGTGCAAGTTTATACTTAGAAATGGTTCTGGACTTTACTTTTTGGAATGGCCATTTTTAGGTCCCTGGGGAGAAAATTCCTGATGCACGGACTGGGAAGGTGAAAAAAAATTCAACCTGAATACAAAAATGGAGTCCGGGACAAGATTTGGGGTGGAATTTTATGCTTAGAAATGTTTCCAGATTATTTTTTCTGTAACGGCCGATTTTAGGTCCCTGGGGAGAAAATTCCTGATGCTAGTGGTATGGGCACGGACTGGGAAGGTGAAAAAAAATTCAACCTGAATACAAAAATGGAGTCCGGGACAAGATTTGGGGTGGAATTTTATGCTTAGAAATGTTTCCAGATTATTTTTTCTGTAACGGCCGATTTTGGGTCCTTGGGGAGAAAATTCTTGATGCCGGTGTTAGGGGCAGGGGGTTAGAGGGTGAAAATAATTTCAAAGAGAATGGAAAAAACGGAGGCTGGGATGACATTCGATATGGAATGTTATGCTTAGAAATGGTGTTGGATGGTGCTTTCCGGAACGGCTGATTTTCAGTCCCCTGGTAGAAAATTATTGAAGCTGGTGGTTGTGTCACAGGCTGAGAGGGTGAAGTAATTTTAAACCTCAATGCAAAAACGAAGGCCGGGATGAGATTGGGGATGGAAATTTGTGCTTAGATCCATTGCTGG